CATAAAAATAAAATAAAGATGTTGTGTCCACCGAAAACTAAAAAATAGATATTAAAAAAAATATACCACTTAGGGTCAATTTGAAACAAATATTATGTTATTAGAATTCTATTATTTTGAGAAAACAGGTGGATGATTAGAGCGTTTGGAAAAAAATATTCTTTATATGTATCACATACAATTATATATATTTGAAAAAATATCAAAAGGGTATATAAACTCTAGATTATGATTTCCAACCTATTTTAGTGTACCTGTGTTAATTTCATTGAAATATTCTCAGAATTAAAAACCTGGGACTTGTGGCTGGGGATATAGCTCAGTTGGTAGAGAGCTTGCTTTGCATGTGCAAGGCCCTGGGTTCAATCCCCAGTACCACCAAAAAAAAAAAAAGAGAGAGAGAGAGAAAGAAAGAAAGGAAGAAAAGAAAACCTTGGGACTTAATGGGCTAAATGAGATTGGCAAAACAGGGGTCAATGTTGGTACCCCATCTTCAGATTCAGAGGTGGCTGAAGAGGGGGGTCTGAGTCCGGTGACAGGGAGGGTCTTGCCCAATGTCATCCACACCTGAACTTATGTTTCCTAGTCCTCTGGCTGAGTGCCAGAGGCATGCCACCTGGTCAGCTGATCCTGTTTCATTTCCAAGCTGTGTTGTTCTATGCAGACTGTCCTGGCTTGGGGGCAGGCAGTGAGACACAAGCAGGAAAACTCTGGATGTGGAATAGAGCAGAGTACAGTCCTGAATCCCTCCCCCACCAATTCCAGCTTGTGCCCTCTGAACCTGGAGTCCTTTATCTCCAGAGTGGGTATAGCAGTGCCCATCTCCTGGGTGGATTGAGAATAGCCTGAGATGGTGGAAGGGGCAGGACAGAACTGGCCCAGTCTGCTTGCAGCCTGCTATGGGGACAGCAACGGTAAGCAAGGGAGCAAAGTCTCTGTGTCCAGTTCCTCCTACCTTGGCTCTAGTCAGAGGGGAGCCCTAGGGCAGCCAGTTAAAGATTGGCCAGATGTGCGTGAGAAGCCCAGGCCAACCCAGTTCACCAGGAGCCAGATGAGGTAGTGATCATTGAATGACCACTGGGCCATCTCAGGCCTGTCCTGAAACTCCCCAGGGACCTGGGTCTTGGATTGATAAAGTATGGTAATGTTGTTGCTTGTTGAGGGGTCCTTATATGTGCCACCAGGATGCACCAGGGACCCTTCCACCAGTCTAGGGGCTCTGAAGGAGGGAGCCATGTCTGCTTAGACTGGAGCTCCCTGGGCCAGGCCATGTCTCCTCCCTCAGACAAGCAGTCCATTTCTCTTGGGATTCCCAGGGCTGGGTTGCATCTCCCTACTCAGACGGCAGTCTCTGAGCAGAAAAATTTCCTCCTGGTACTGTAGCCCCCAGGCAGGGGTGTGATGATGTCAACAGAGCAATCTGGACAGGTATCAGCATGGTCAAAGCCCTGTAAACCCACTCCTACGTCAACAGCACCTAAGACCTGCACTGTTTGAACTGCCTTCTTACTAAATTTTCAATCTGAGCTATTAATGGCTCCTTTTTTTCTACAGAACGCATCTCTAATACAGTAAGAAAGTAGGCTTCACTTGATAGAGATCCTCTCTGCTGCCCAAGGGGCAGAAAGCTGGGGGTCATGATGGATGGGTGGGCACAGCTATTCTTTCAGTATCCTTTTTACTTATTTCTTGGACTCTTCCAGAAGATTCCACCATCATTTCCTTCCTCTATTTCCCACACTTGAATCCTAGGGTATCCTGGAATCCCTCTGTAGTCATTTGACTCCTTCAAACGCAAAGCTGTGTCCTCAGAAAGTAAGAGGCATTAAGGGGACTGAGGGTCAGATCAAGTGTGTGTGGTGGGAAGGGGTTCAACTTGCCCCATCTGCAAGCTCTGCCTTCCTGTCTCTGTTTTTCAGAGGGAAAGACCTTGATCACATAGAACACTACAGCCTTTGCATCTTGAAAAGGAAAAAGCAAACTCATTATGCACTTCAATTCTTGGGCTCTTAGGAGAGCAACTAATCCAACTCTCTGCTTTTACTTTGCAGGTGAAATTAGGGAGCTAGAGGGGAGGCAGGGGCTCTGTCTGGCACTGTGGACATGAGCATGGGACACCATCAGGGACAGTGAGGAGAAGAGGGGAGGCCTGAGCCTTTTTAAATATGTTTTGGCAACATTTTGTTGTATTACTTGCTTTTAAAAATATTTTTAGGAGTTTTAGATTATAGAAAAATGAGTAGAAAGTACAGAGATTTTTCAGATACCTGCTCCTCTGCTCCCTGTTTCCCTGATATTTTATGATTATTTGCAATTTGTGGATACATTGTTATTAACTAAAGTCCATAGTCACTCTTAGTGTTGAATGTTCTATGGGTTCTGACACATGTGATAATCTGTGTCTCAGGTTAAACAGCCTCTGCTCTAAACATCCTCTGTGCTCCTCCTAGTCATTCATCTCTTATCCCAAACTCCTGGAAACCACTGGTATTTTTACTGCTTCCATAGTTTTGCCTTTTCTAGAGTGTCACAGAGTTGGAACCAGACAGCATGGAACCTCTTCAGTTTGGGTTCTTTGACTTAGCAATATACATCAAAAGTTCTTCCATGTCATTCTGTGGCTTTGACAGCTCATCTCTTTTTATCAAACATACTATTTTACTGTGTTACTTGCCTTTTTGAGGAGAATGTACTGGGAATCGAACTCAGGGGCACTTGACACTGAGCCACATCCCCAGCCCTATTTTGCATATTATTTAGAGACAGGGTCTCACTGAATTGCTTAGCGCCTTGCTTAGCTGAGGCTGGCTTTGAACTTGTGATCCTCCTGTCTCTGTCTCCCAAATCCCGGGATTACATGTGCCACCATGCCTAGCACTGATACTTCCCTTTTTAAAACAGACTGTGGTAAAATATATGTGCAATTTACCATTTTAGGCTTACAATTAGGTGGTGTTAATTAAGTACATCCACGAAGTTGTGCAACCATCACCACCATCTACTTCCAGAACTTTTCGTTATCCCAAACAGAAACTCTTGCGCTCCTTAAACAATATCCCCATTCTTTCCTCCTCTTATCTCCAGTTAACCTCTCCTGTCCTCTCTCTAGGAGTTTAACTATTCCATTTCCTTCATATAAGTGAAATCAGGCAATATTTTCCCTTTTGTGTCTGGCTTTCTTCCAATGTGGTTGAGATTTATCCATGTTGTGCCTGTACTAGAACTTCATTCCTTCCAGTGGTTAAATAGTGTTTCCATGTGTGTGTTTACCATGTTTTGTTTACCCATTCATGTGTTGTTGGACAGCAGGCTGTTTTCACCCTTTGGCTACTGCAAATAATGCTGCTATGAACATTCATGTACAAGGTTTTGCTTAAACATCTGTTTTCGCCAGCCACGGTGGCACACATCTGTAATACCGGCAGCTTAGGAGGCTGAGGCAGGAGGATGGTGAGTTCAAAGCCAGTCTCTCAGCATCTTAGTGAGGCCCTAAGCAACTCAGCAACCCTATCTCTACATAAAATATAAGAAAGGGCTAGGGATGTGGTTCAGTGCTCAGTGGTAAAGTGCCCTTGGGTTCAATCCCTGGTACCAAAACAACAACAACAACAATACCTTTTTTCAATTCTTTAGGATATATGCTTAGCAGTTGAATTGTTGAATCATATGATTTTTCTATGTTTAACTTTTTCTTCACAGTGGCTGCACCATTTTATATTCCCACTAGCAATGCACCAGGGTTACACTTTCTCCACATACTTGCCAACATTTCTTATTTTCCATTTTTAAAAATTGTAACTATCCTGGGGGACATGAAGTGGTGTCTCACTGTGGTTTTGACTTGCATTTCCAAAGTGACTAATGATGTCAGACATCTTTTCTTGTGTGTATCGGATGTTTGTATATCTTTTTTAGAGAACTGACTTTTCAAGTCTTTTGTCCATTTTTGAATTGGATTTTTTTGTTTCTTTGTGGTTGAGTTGTAGGTGTTCTTTATATATTCTGGGCATTAATTCCTTATCAATATATTTTGTTTTGTTTTGTTTTATTTTGGTACTGGGGATTGAATCCACTGTGCTGTACAACTGAGTCACATCCTCAGCAACCCCCTACCCCTCTTTTTTTTTTTTTTTTTGAGATAGGTTCTCAGTAAGTTGCTGAGGCTGGCCTTGAACTCATGATCCTCCTACCTTGGCCTCCCAAGTTTCTAGGATTACAGGTGTGTGCCACTGTGTCCAGTTTAATATGTTTTGCAAACATTTTCTTCCATTCTGTGAATTGTCTTTTCAATCTCTTGATAGTGTCCTTTGATGAGACCTGGGCTTTTTTGCAGGTAACCCAAGCACTACTGGGAGCTTATTCTCCTTGGGTTGTAGATGGATAAATTAAGGCCTCGTAAGAAGTCACATGTTTTACCTCTTGAGAGTGGGATATGAGGAATCCCAGTTCAGGGCTGAATCTCTTCCTTCCTTTTCCCTTCAAGTGTTCAAAGACTTGTGTCACACAAAAATGGAAGGAAGAATGTCCATCAATGACTATGAGGAAATAGACCCAGGCCTGGTGTCAGGACTCAGAAAACGGGACTTGTTGATATATGCTTGACATGGGTAGTACTTGTATGAATTATGTTAAGTCAAAGAAACCAGTCACAGACCACATATTGTATCATTCCATTTATCTGAAGTGTCCAGAGTAGACAAATCTACAGAGACAGAAAGTAGACTAGTGATTTCCCGTGGCTAGTGGGGCAGGAGAGGCATGATGGAGGAGCAGTCACTAAATGCTAAGGAGTATGAGGCTTTTTGTGGGTAATACAATGTTCTAAAATCAGTGGTGGTGATGGTTGTGCAATTCTATAAAGACATGGAAGGAGGTGAATTATATAGTATAAGAATTATATCTTAGTAAAGCTGTTTTTCTTTTTTTCTTAAAAAGAAAAGAAACAAGGGCTAAGGACCCATGAGCACCCCCTCCCCCACCTTGGCATGGTGGTGCTTTCTTCACTTGGAGAAGCGTAACCGTGCCTGGATTTGATCACAGCGGGCATGCTTCATGGTTAGCCCGTAGATGGGGGTCAGGTCCACCTTCACGCCTGGTGGCACACTGAACTCCAGCTGCTGCAGTAGGAAGGCCAGGAAGAGGAAGATCTCCCACTTGGCTGGAATCTCCCCAATGCACCTGCGCTTGCCCAGGCCAAAGAGCATCATCTTCTCACTCACGGTCTTGTTGATGGCCCTGTTGTTGGCAGTGAGGAATCGCTCAGGCTGGAACTCAAAGGGATCCTCCCACAGCTCCCTGCAAGAGTGACAGAGGAGATGGGATTTCTGGGCTAGAGAGGCCCTGGGAGAAAAGTCTTAGGGGAGACTTTTTTGTTTTGGTTCTGAGGATTGAATCCAGGAGTGCTCAAACACTGAGCCGCATCCCCAACCCTTTTTCATATTTTATTTAGAGACAAGGTCTCACTAAATTGCTTAGGGCCTCACTAAGTTGCTGAGGCTGGCTTTGAACTTGTGATCATCCTGCCTCAGCCTCCTGAATTTCTGGGATTACAGGTGTGTGCCACTGCATCTGGCTTGGGAGAGACTTTTGAATAGACTTCTGTTGAGAACACAAATGTTAGAATAGGTTGAAAGCAATGAAAACTTAGTGAGAAAGTGATCAAACTGAACTTTGATGTTTATTTCTTTTTACAAAATTCTCTCTGAAAAGATAAAGATAAAGATAGTGCTTTTTAACAGTAATCTGTTGTTTTTAAAAAATATGCTTTCTCTAAAAGAAATTAAAAGAAGAAAAATGGGTCCATCTCCATCCTACTATAGATATGCCATTAGCAAGAAGAATCAACAGTATGTCCTGTTTTATGCTTATTATTTTGGAGTAATTATTGATAGCACAAATATCAATAGCACCTTTGTATTCAAGAGCATATCACCAGATGTTAAATTATTTGGTCCCCTTCCCAGTAGACTAAAGTGATGTCTGGGGCATTCCCATTAGAATCCCCTGAGGCACCTTCTCCTATCTACCAAAGTAGGTCCTGAAGGATAGGGCATAATCTGCAACAAGCTTCTGGGTCCATTTGTAAGTGCACTGAAGTTTGGAAAACAGGGATCTATGTTTTGTCACATAAAATAGGCTATAAAGCAGCTGAGTGCCCCTGTGCATGCCTATAATCCCAGGGACTGGGAAGGCTGAGGCAGGAGGGTTGTAAGTTCCAGACCAGACTCAGCAACTTAGTGAGACTGTATCAAAAAGAAGGAGGCAGCGCTACAGATGTAGCTCAATGGTAGCATGACCCTTTGTTTAATCCCCAGTACTACAACACTAAAGAAAGAAAGAATAATTATATATATAGCTATATAGCAATTGAGGCTCCTTATTTAACCAGGAAAAACAGCCTTCCTGATTGCTGAACTTGTACACGTTTTTCCATAAGGGATGTGTACTTACGGGTCGTGGTTGACCTGCCACTGGTTTATAAAGACACAGCAATCCTTGGGAATGTAGAAGCCATTTAGTGCTGTGTCCCTCGTTGTGCTGAGGAGGGAAGAAGGATCTGTTAGGCTCAGGGTTTGGAAAGCTGTCTTGCTCTTTCATCCACCCCACCCCAATCTGCTCACTGCAGTCTTCATACTCCATTCTGGGAGGGAGTGTGAGAGTCAGGGACAAGGGGAAATATCCTTCCATTTCCTTGGCTTCTGTTCTCCAACTTCAACACATGCTCACTGAACTATGGAGCCAAGAAGCAGGTGGTCTGGGCCAGCTCTGGGGTATTTCAAGCCTCTTACTCCATGAATAACTAGATCAACATGTGGGCAGAAGTAAATGTTCACTAACTCTTAGGGTCAAGGACTGTAAGTCCTAGAAGACATCAGAGGATACAGCTGTGCCAGGATGTGTCAAAACAGGTTCTGGGAAAGGGGAAGCCCAGGTCAGGATTGACCTTGGGCAAAGATAGGATTCTGGGAGTCTGAGAAATGTGTAGAAATCCTTCCAGGCAGAAGCATAAGAAAAAGCCCAGCATAAGCAAAATTGGAAGCTGGCTGGATCATGTTTGTGAGGGTCGGTGAAGATGACCAGGCTGGAGGAGTGGGCACTTGCAGGAAGGATATATGAGTGGAGGTGAGTGATAGCTGAGGTCAAAAAAGGTGATTTTCTTTTGCAAGCTGCATGGTTGGATCAAGATTAGACTGGGTGAAGACAGACTGGAGGCTGGGGTCCTGGCCAGGAAGAAGAGCCAGGCCACAGCCAGAGCCAGGGAATGAGAAGCTGGGAGGAGGGAACATGGCAGCGACTTGGGGAGGGCAGAGTAGGCAGCTTTACCTATGAGGGATGGTGAAGGGTATAAAGGAAGTGTGTCGGAAGAGCTCCAGGATGAAGGCCTCCATGTAGGGCAAATGGAGTCTGTCAGAGAGCCGGGGCTGCCGCTCCGTGCCAATCACGGTATCTGCAGAACATACGGGATGGACAGAGCTTAGGGGCTGCTCTGACTGCTCTTTGCATCGGTGTCCTCCATTATACTACGTGTCCCTCCATGTGGGGGCTATGTCTATTCAAATGTCTGAGATCTCACAAATCCCCTTCCCCCAATGTCTTCCAGGCACTAGTGGGCCTCACTATATGCCCAGGATTGCATATAGTAGGCACAAAACAGTTATTTGTAAATTGAACAAATGACATGGGATCCCAAGGTTTCTCCCAGTTAGAGGATTGGGGGACACAATGTACCTAACTCCTTCTGGATCTTCTTCTGTATCTCAGGCTTTGTCACAAGGTACATAAGGCTCCAGGAGATGGCTGTTGTCACAGTGTCAAATCCTGGGAAGCACAGAGTGAGGTGAGAAGGAGGAAGGAAGACAAGAACAAGGAGACCACCGTGGACCAAGCATCCACCATGAAGGCAGCAAGCTTTGTTTTCTCTGGCCACAGCTCATGAGTTTCCTGAGGGCAGGGGCTGAGTCTCTTCAAATAAATTTGAGACACAGACTTCATAATTAGCTGCTAGAATTACAGGGGCTTATATTTACAGGTCAGAGAATTTTTATTGTTCAGATGGAGAAGCAGAGGCCCAGAAGAGGAGAGGGACCTGATTGAGTTTCCACTGGGAGTTGGCGTCACAGATTAAGCTCAAACCCTGATCTTAGCCAGGTCTCTGTATCCTGTAACAGTGGAAATGTGTTTGGCAGGTTAGTGGCTGGGCAAGAGTATGGGTGGACAGAGGGCTCTGATGGATGGAGGGGCAGGGGTCTTACCGGCTCCAAAGATGTCATTGACAAGGTTGACAATTTTCTCCTGGGGGATGAGACCACCATTGGCTCTAGAGGCCTTCTCGCTGTGCTTGAACAGGGCGCCTACAATGTCCTGGACACTGTTCTGAGGGGGCACAAGATTAAAGGCACCCTTGACATTTCCAGGGCCAAACGCTGGGCCTTCCCTGCCACACACACCAAGAGGTGTCCTAGGGGCTTGGCAGTCCCCCTGGCCTCCAAGCAGTGGGCTGGGGCTCAGGGCAGGAGCTGGTAGCAGCCCTGATTTGGCTTAAAATGTCATTTCATGCCACTTTGAACCTTTCTTCCAATCACCCCATCTGGTTACTAGATCCCAGGGATCCAGTTTCAAAGGAGGAAGAGGTTGGTGTGAACACAAGGAAGAAAAAATGACATGAAACTGAGGATTAGCCTCTGTTGGTTTCAGGTTCCTACAGACCAAAAGCCTTCTCATGCATAATAATGGCCCCCCACATTACACAGTTCTGCCAGGACCCCATTCAAAGGCCTTTTCTGTCTGGGGCTTTGAGCAGCTGAAGGGAAGATTTAAAAGATGAGGAAAGTGAGGCCCAGAAAGGAGGAGGAGATGGCTCTATATCACTCAGCTTCTCCAGGGAGTCCCAGAACCTTCCTTGTCCTTAGCGGCACATTAACTGAACAGACATCTTGGAGCAGGGTAGGAGGGGCCACACCCTGGTCCTGCAGGTGCCTCGTCACCACCTGCATCCCATACTCACCTTGTCAAAGTCCTGATAGTGCTCCTGGACTGTTTTCTGCAGGAACTGCAGGAATCTCTTGTTGTAGTTCTTGAACCTTTCCAGGGCAGGGTTGGGCAGGTAGCGAAGAATGGGTAAAAAGTCCACAGGATTCCTAGAGGAGGCAGTCTCCACAAATTCATGGGTGTTCTTCACAATATGGAGCATCTCCTCACTGCTCTGAGGGAAGTGCTTCCCAAAGCACATGGCACCAATGACTTTGGCCACTGACAAAACCACCTCGTTGTAGGGGTCAAAGTGCCCAGAGTCTTCCATCAGCTTCTGGAACCTGCCAATTAGGCACTCAACCTCCTTGCTCACGTGCTCCTCCAAGTAGCAGGAGGACACAGAAGTGGGGTCTGAGGCTATGGAGAAACTCTTCAGGGCATCCTGGGCCAGGCGTTTGCGGACAGCCCACACTGGTCCAGAGTCTGGGCTGAAGATTATGCTCTGGCCATCAGTAACAAGGGTGAAGGTGTAGAAGTCTGGCCGGCCCTTGAAGTCATCACCCTGCTTCACTAGGGCCTGCCGGATGGTGTCCAGGCCACTCAGCACCACCACAGGTGTGGTCCCAATGCGGATCTGCAGCACGTCCCCATACTTCTGTCTGAGCTTTGCCAGAGCCACGTGAGGGTTCTTCCCCAGGGTCAGCATGTGCCCTATCAATGGCCAGCCCCAGGGCCCTGGTGGACTCTTTAGGCCTTTGGGGACCCGAGGCCTTGAGGCTCTGACCACCCAGAATACCAGGCAGAAGATGGCAGCAGCCAGGAGCAGCTCTGTGGCTGAGACGGAAAGAGATTGGGATAACACCATCTCTGCTGACTGCTGGGAAAAAGGAAGGAGAGCTAGGCTGAGGAGGGAGGTGAAGTCATTCATTCAGTCATTCATCCTTCAATAAGCACTAATACATGTTTTATGCTTGGGTCTCAGCTGGACACCAGAAAGACTAAGATACATCTATCATAGGTCCTATTCCCCGGGGCTCACTCTTCACACGTCACGGAATCTGAGGGCTGTAAAGGCAGGGCAGGATTTCCAACTGAGCATCTGAATTCCCAGGCTTGGCTCTCTCTACCCCATTCCCCTAGTTTCCAATTCTGAGGCTAAGAATTGTGGAGGAAAGTGACCACTCTAAAACAGGAAAGCCAAGGACAGCCCCCTGGCAGGCCCTGGCACAGGGTGTATGTTGGACATTGTGCCAAAGGGTTCCAGTCAGTGCAGGCTTCCTGCTGATACCCTCTGCATGCCAGGGAACATGGAGCCCCAGCAACACTGAGGATGCCAAGGCCCCAGGATTGATGGCCCTACCCCGATGGCATTCTTTGTATCAAGAAGGATGCCTCCTCCAAGGCTGAGTACCTATTCCCTCATGGTCTTGGAGGCTGAGGTGGGCTACAGCTAGGGCCAGGACTACCCTTGTGCCAGGAGTAGACTTCTTCCCCTTCTCTCTACTCCAAGTGAGGACCCTTGGAGACGGCCTAGTTGAAAGTGCTCATTTAAAAATAGAGAAGCAGAGGTCCAGAACTGAGCAGAAAGGACTAGAACTCAGGCTCCTATACCTACCCAGGGTACCCCATCTCTCCATTTCTACTAGTTCCCAGAATAGATAGTATGGGTCCAGAAAGGTACCTGTAAAGACAGGTGCTTGAGATCAGCAGAGTTGTGTTTCTAGCACCAGATGAGAGGGCCTTTTATAAATATCACCTTCTATCAGATTGGTCCAGCTGCTGTCCTGGTCATCTGATATCCAAGTTGGATCACTAAACAAAGTTGGAAGGATCAACCCTTGGCTTTGGGCCATGATCCCTCAGCTCCACCTACTACTCAGGGTCAAGGATAGTGTTTTGGCAATAGGCCTGAAGGGTTTCTGAGTCCCTGAGGATAAATGTCTAGCTCTTCTCCAGGTACAGGGTAGGAGGCTCATTTATTTCATGCACAAGGAGGGTGGTGGAGAAAATTAGGTCTGTGGGTAGTCAAGACTCTTTCCCATGGTGCCCATGAGGTAGGGCCCTGTTGGACACACAGTTCAGGCCAAGCAGGGGCCCATTAAGTTCACTGTTTCTCTCAGAAGAATGCTCCATAGTCCCTTCTAACAACTGTGAAATCAGACAAGGGATGGGTATGTTCCAGTTGTCCCCAAATCTCAGTTCATGTCTCCAATCCAAAAATAAGAAAGGATAAAAATTCTGCATTCTAAAGAAAGCCTCCCTCACCCTCCTCCCTTCTGTGTAAGAATTGGGAAGAGATTAAAGAACTAATGAAAAAAAAATCTATGCTTTAGGCTATTCCTTATGGCAACTGGCTTGGACTCTTCAAAATTGTTAACGTCAGCTGGGCATGGTGGGGCATGCCCGTAATCCCAGTGACTTGGGAGGCTGAGGCAGGAGGATCTCAAGTTTTAGGCCAGCCTGGGAAACTTAGCAAGACTCTGCCTCACAATAATAAAACAAACAAAAGAAAAAAATTTTAAAGGGCTTGGGAAGTGTAGTTAAGTAGTGGATTACCACTGTGTTCAGTCCACAAAATGATCAACATCATTATGGGAGAAAACAATAAAAAGGACTAGGGCCTTGTTATGGTTTGAATATGAAGTACCCCCCAAAAGCTCCTGTTAATGCAGGAATATTCAGAGTTAAAATGGTTAGATTGTGAGAGCTGTGACCTAATCAGTCCATCTACTTTGAATGGACTGGGTGGTACAATAGGTAGGTGGGGCATGGCTAGAGGACATGGATCACTGGGGGCATGCCCTGGAAGGGTTCATCTGCCCCCTGCCCCTTGCCCCTGCTTCCTGACTCTGATATGAGCTGAGCAGTTCTCCTCTGCTGGGCCCTTCCCCCATGGTGTCCTGCCTCATCCTGGGCCCAGAGCAATGCAGTTAGCCATCTATGGACTGAGACCTGTAAAACTGTGAGCTCCAAATAAATTTTTCCTCCTCCAGGTTGTTCTTGTCAGGTATTTTCATCATAGCAACACAAAAACTGACTAAAACAGGCCTGTTCTAGAACCAAGAGACTAAAGAGATAAGAACCAAATGCAATACGTGGACTTGATTGGATCCTGGATCTAACAACAATAAAGTATTTAAAGGCATGAAAGACATTTTTGAGAAAACTGAGGGCATGTGAATATAAACTGCAGATTAAATGATATTCTGGAGTGAATATTAATTTTCTTAGATATAAACACAGTATCATGATTATATGGGATTTTATCCTTATTCTTTTTTTAAAAACATTTTTAGTTGTAGATGAACACAGTAACTTTATTTTGTTTCTTTATTTGTTTTTATGTGGTGCTGAGGATTGGACCCAGTGCCTCATACATGTGAGGTAAGCACTCCACCACTGAGCTACAATCCCAGCACTTATCCTTTTTCTTAGGAGACTAATGCATTGCATTGTTATTTAAAGGAGAAGTTTCATGATGCCTGTGACCTCCTTTTAGATGGTTCTGTTAAAAATGTAGATTTTAGCCAGGTGCAGTAGTGCATACCTGTAATCCTAGTGGCTCAAGAGGCGGAGGCAGGAGGATCACAAGTTCAAAGCCAGCCTCAGCAAAAGCAAGGTGCTAAGCAACTCAGTGAGATACTGTCTCTAAATAAAATACCAAATAGGGCTGGAGATATGGCTCAGTGGTTGAGTGCCCCTGAGTTCAATCCCTGGGACCCTCTCCCCCAAATGTAGATTTCAGCTGGCTAGGTTGGCATATGTCTGTAATCACAGCTACTCAGGAGACTGAGGCACAGGGATCACTTGAGCCGAAGAGTTCAGGAATAGCCTGGGCCACATAGTGAGACCCTGTCTCAAAAAAAAAAAAAAATCTATCTATCTATCTATCTATTGATCAGAAGTACAAATGAGAAATGTCAGCTCTCAGTGAACCAAGGTGACGATAACAGAAGTGTTCATTGTATAAAAGGAGACTTTATAGACTCAGGTTTCAGTCATGTCTAAGAGGAGGATTGGGACAAAGTCTTATATTGAATATGAGAAATAAATTGTGATTTAGATTAATTTGGGCTCTCTATTCCTGAAAATGAGAAAGTCATGAAATCACAGTGAAGATGTCAAGGGGCAAGGATGGGGACTCTGAGAAACAACAGAGCAGGTTTGAAAAGCATGGATGAGAAAAGCTGTTTTCTGTCGGTGTCTCCCCCAGATTTGGCTCACTCAGTAAAGTTAGGTAAAGTTTCATAAAAAATTGACTCTTTCTCTCATTAATTAACTAAAGTCCACAGTTTAATTAGATAGCCTTAGTTCATTTAATGTCCTATTTCTTTTTTTTAATATTTATTTTTTAGTTGTAGTTGGACACAATACCTTTATTTTATTTATTTATGTGGTGCTGAGGATTGAACCCATTGCCCCACGCACAGAAGGCAAGTGCTCTACCACTGAGCCACAACCCCAGCCCTTATTTATTTATTTTTATGTGGTGCTGAGGATTAAACCCAGGGCCTTGCACATGCTAAGGGAACACTCTACCGCTGAGCCACAACCCCAGCCCCTTATGTCCCTTTTCTGTTCCAGGATCTGTCTAGGATGCCACATGAAAGTTACCCATTAGGTAGGTCTCTTTGGACAATTCTTGGTAGTGACAATTTCTTATTCTGTCATCATTCTTGATGACTGATGTTTTCAGGAGTCCTGGTCAGGTAATGTGTAGAATGTTCCACTGTTAGAGTTGGATGTTTCTCTCCTGGTAAGCCTGAGGTTATGGGTGAGTAGCAGGAAGACCCCAGGGGTAATGTGCCATTTTCTTCATACCATCTCAAGGCCACACCATCAACATTATTTACTGATAGACAAGGTAGCACACGCCTGTAATTACAGCAACGGATGCAGGAGGATTGCAGGTTTGAGGCCAGTGTAGACAACTTGGCAAGATTCTATCTCAAAATAAAAAATAAAAATGGTCAGGGATGTAGCTCTCGGTTCAATCCCCAGTACTGCAAAAAACAAAAATAAAGTAAAACAAAGCCAGCCTTAGCAACTTAGCAAGGTGCTAAGCAACTCAGTGAGGTCCTGTCTCTAAATAAAATATTAAAAAGGGCTGGAGATGTGACTCGGTGGTTAAAATTCCCTGAGTTCAATCCCTGGTACAAAAAAAAAAAAAAAAGAAGTTTAAAATGGGCTGGCTGTGGTGGTACAGCATGTAATCATAGCCATTCAGGAGGCTGAGGCTGGAGGATCCCAAGTTTGAGGCCAGCCTGGGCAACTTAGCAAGGCTCTGTCTCAAAAATAAATAAAAAGAAATGGGAATATAAAGAAGTGCCCTTGGGTTCAATCACCAGTACCATAAAAAAAAAAGAGGTGGGGAAGAGGAGGAGGAAAAGGAGGAGGAAGAGAAGTTGGTACCATGATTATTCCGAGAGGGAACACAGGGGGCTTCCAGGGCACTGTTTTTTTTGTTTTTGTTTTTGTTTTTTTGTTGTTGTTGTTTGTTTGTTTGTTTTTTAAAGAGAAAGAGAGATGAAGAGAGAATTTTTTAATATTTATTTTTTAGTTTTCAGTGGACACAACATTTTTGTTTTATTTTTATGTGGTACTGAGGATCGAACCCAGTGCCCCACGCATGCCAGGCGAGTGCACTACCCGCTTGAGCCACATCCCCAGCCCAGGGCACTGTTGATACACAGTTTTGTCAAGTTGTAAAAATTCATTGAGCTATACATGATAAATTCCCTTTTCTATATTGTTTCCTTTCATGTTATTAACAATGTTTTTAATGTTGAAGAAAACATTACAAAAAGAAAAAGGAAAAAAGTCTCTCATAGACAAATGTCCTAATACTTATAGAGATAATTGCCC